ACCCGCAGCCCCTGCTAGCCCAGCCCTGGGCTCCCCCCAGCTCTGCCAGTGCCCCTCACTCCCGACCCGCAGCCCCCTGCTAGCCCAGCCCTGCCTCCCCCCAGCTCTGCCGGTGCCCCTCACTCCCGACCCGCAGCCCCTGCTAGCCCAGCCCTGGGCTCCCCCCCGCTCTGCCGGTGCCCCTCACTCCCGACCCGCAGCCCCTGCCAGCCCGGCCCTGGGCTCCCCCCAGCCCTGCCGGTGCCCCTCACTCCCGACCTGCTAGCCCGGCCCTGCCCTCCCCCGAGCCAGTGCGCCCCAGCTCTGCCAGTGCCCCTCACTCCTGACCTGCAGCCCCTGCTAGCCCAGCCCTGCCCCCCCAGCTTTGCCAGTGCCCCTCACTCCCGACCTGCAGCCCCCCCACTCATCCCCTGTATGAGCCGATCTCTGATCCCAGCTGCACCAGTTCTATTCTCTCGTTCCCTTGTTGCAGCCCAGGCCCGATTCTCCTATTCCGGGGAGTTCGGCTCAGCTGTGGGGACCTCGTTCTCTTACTCCGGAGACCACTTCTGGGGCCCCATCACGGCCTTCCGGGTCTGGGAACACCCCAGCAGCTACATCAAAGCGTGAGTCCCAGGCCTGGGGGATCAGAGGGCGGCGGGAGGCACAGGGGGGTATGGAGGAGAGGGGGGAGGTCTGGGATTTGGGGAGCAGAGCGGGGGGATGGGGAATCAGAGGCAGACACAAGGGATGGAGGAACGGAAGGGGGGCTCAGTGGACAGGGAAAGGGATGGGGGGTTTGGGGGTTCTACCCAGATTTTGAGGGGGGGCTGATTGTACCCTCTCATCTCCCCCCAGCCTCCAGTTCCAATTTGCTGGCACATGGAGCAAAACTTATGGCTATGAGCAAGGCACACATCACGAGGTGATCCTGTTCCCAGGAGAGGAAATCACACAGATCTCTGGGAAACACTCCACCTACGTCTACCAGCTCATCTTCTTCACCAACTACAGACGCACCTTCTTCTTCGGCCAGCCAGCCGGGGAGAGCTTCAACGCCGTCCCTCTGGAGCAGGGCAACGTCCTGGCCTTCATCACCGGCCACCACAATGGGGCGGGCATCACGGGCATCGGGATGCACTGGGACCAGTCCATCTTGCCGGCATTAAAATCCTATCCCCAGATCCCAGAGGTGGGGAATTCCTCTGGCTAATGGAGTCCATCCATTCCAGCAAAATCCTGTAGCAGGGCGTTCCCCTTGTTAACATACCTCAGCATATGACTCTCCGCGTGGCACCGTGGAGCCATTCGCTGGCTGTGATCAGTGGCTGATTAATTAGAGCCAGATTGCTTGATTTACTGATGCGCTCATTAAAATAATAAAGCATCAATCTCTGCTCTCCATTTTCATCCAGAACACGAGGTCTCTGCTTACATTTGGGTTTGGCCTGGGGGCTGTTTCTACCTGGATCCCTGCCCCAGCACAGGGATGCAGCCACCTCTGGGGTGAAGCACGGGGGCTGTTTAGCCAGGGACGTCTTGCGTGGTGCTCAGATGCAGCCACCTCTGGGGCAGAGCGCGGAGGCAGTTTAGCCAGGTATGCCTTGCACCGTGCTCAGATGCGGCCACCTCTGGGGCGGAGCGCGGGGGGGGTGTTTAGCCAGGTACGCCTTGCGCGGTGCTCAGATGTGGCCACCTCTGGGGCGGAGCGTGGGGGCTGTTTAGCCAGGGACGCTTTGTGCGGTGCTCAGATGCGGCCACCTCTGGGGCGGAGCGTAGGGGCTGTTTATACCTGGGTGCTGAGCTCCAGTCGAGCGTAATCTTTGTAAACAAAGGCAGGCCTGGGAGTCTGAACACGCTTATTTAGTGCAATGAGAACGCCATCAGGGAAATGTCTCTAGGAGCCAGGTGCGAAATCTTCCCCTCGAGGGGTATTAAGGGCAATCTCCGCCCTGCGTCATGCGCAGCGATCTAGAAACAGGAATATTTCGCCCGGGGCCCGACTTCTCCCCAGCTTCCAAGCACACACTGGCCCGCCCAGTCTCCCGTACACAGGTGTATTGCCCAGACGTAAGCAAAACAAACACAACTGGTTCCACAGCTCACCCTTCACAGCCGGCTCCGCTCTCCGCTGGCTCTGGGTCCCAAGTCCAGGGCAACCTTCTGAGCACAGGTTTCAGAGTAGCAGCCGTGTTAGTCTGTATCCGCAAAAAGAACAGGAGTACTTGTGGCACCTTAGAGACTAACAAATTTATTAGAGCATAAGCTAATTAAGAGCTCTTACTTAATTGGCCTCTCAGAGTTGGTAAGACAACTCCCACCTGTTCATGCTCTCTGTATGTGTGTATATATATCTCCTCGATATGTTTCACTCAATATGCATCCGAAGAAGTGGGTTGTAGCCCACGAAAGCTTATGCTCTAATAAATTTGTTAGTCTCTAAGGTGCCACAAGTACTCCTGTTCCTTCTGAGCACCTGGCCCCTTGCTCCAGGGCCCCACCACAGATGTCCTCAATCACCCCTCGTCTCCTCCTCGTCTTGTGTTTTCGGCGTCTCTGGCCGCCAAGCACCGCGCACCGCAGCTAATTCAACAATTCAAATCTTTCTCCTTTCCGGGTATTTACAAAGAATGGCATTGTCGCTTTTTGTTTCAAGAGGGCCCCGTTTTCCTGACGCTCTTACTAGGTATCGCAGCGAAAGTCCAACACTTTAAGACCTCTATGGTTTCCATATCAATTCCCCCTTTGGGCGGTTCCTGGGCATATCTCATGGACCCTTTTCCCTTCCGTTCTTTTCCTCTCTTTCCCGCCATTCCTCCCTTAGCGCCTTCTTAATTTGCTTTTTAAACTCCACTGAAAGGGATCTCTCTGAATCAACTTGCTCGGGTCTGACAGCGGTTTTCCTCTCCTCTGCCGGCTCCTTGTTCGCTACCCCCAGCCCTGGGGTGCAGGCTATTCACCCAGCGGTGTCAAGGAGCTGACAGGACTGTTTGATTAAGTCGATCATTCCTGCTATCAGGAGTCCCTTTGTGCGCTTTCCTCTGACTTGCATGAGGCATTCGGAGTTTTTGCCTCATACATCAACAACTTAATTCCCAGCATTCGTCGTATATTAGTTCAGTGCTTTCCATTCATTCTAAGCGGGGAGGAGTGGTAGATACGCTGGAGGGGAGGGCTCCCGGCTCCCGGC